TAAGCGCTAAGTCCCTCCCTGCCTTTCAGTCTGCTCTTGTGCCTTGGTTCCCTGAGACCTTTGGGATCCACTGCCAACCATTTCAGTCAAAAGGAGTGAGGTTCAACCCCAATTGTGCGAAGATGGACCCGCAGTGGAGGTGGGTAACCGCACTTGTCACCCTCTGGTACAAGGCTGCAGCTGTAGCTGCAGACACCGAAGAGCCCGAGTGGGAGTTGGCACTGACAAACACCCCCTCAGGGTCCTATGGGACCTCCTAGTGTGTGGGTCAGCCCTTTCCCAATGTCCCCAAGTCACCTCATTGCAGCTACCAACTGGGAAGGGCGGAACATCCCGTCTCCAACAATTCAGAGATGCGCGATCCATGGAGACAGCCTGAAGCAGTTGCAATAGAAAAAACCTGCACGCTCCCACCTTCTCTCTCCATCACACACGCTCTCCTCTCAACCCCAGACAAGCTTCAGTGAGAGAGGACATCCACCCCACCACAAGGGACGGGGTGGATCACTTGTGTGGATGCAGCTAAACAGACCTTACCCGTGTTCCAACCTACAGTCTCCATATAGTTTAGTTCACCTTGGAAATGCACAGAAATAAGTTAAATACCCCATCACCTCTGGCAGAAAGTGGGGTTTGGGAAGGCTTAATTAATCTACTCTGACATCATGCCTTTCCTTAACCTCCATTCCTTTCCCCAGGTACCTGAATCACAGGTTCCTGGTGATTTTGGCAATAGCAGAGCTTCAGTTTTGGCCTGAAGACCTGAAACTCCTGGAGGTGACCAGGGACACTAGGTCCTTGCATCAGAGGGGTACACCAGGCTTTGATTTCTGGGGCACCAGTTTTGCACTACCTTTGATGCCCCATGCCAGAAGCAATAACCTTTCCACATCTTTTCTATCCCTCGGCTGATCTCCTCTGAGCAGGGGACGATTCAGTCCAAAATGCTACCAGAGGTATTTTCAGTGGAGCCTATTTAAGGTGCTCCTCTACCCCAACGGGATGTGATGCTAGCTCACAGGATGGAGACATCCCCCTCTGGTAGGCAGAGGGGGACCCGCTTTCTGAGTGCCCACACAGCTTTCGTGAAGCACCCATTGGCCAGGTCAGCGCCCAGAGCTCCCACCCCACATGTATTTACATGCTCGACCCCTTCTTCCATCCCCAGACCCACAAAATCAGGCGAAGTGAGTCCCTAGCCCACTCTGGAGCATGCAGGTCTACCAGTGGTCTGAACCAAACTGGGTCCACAGGTCTCCTGAACATTCTGTAAGGACCATAGCAAACATCTACAGCCCTCAGGAAGCAAAAGGATGCAAAACAACATCTCTCCAAGGAGACACGATAGGAGAGAAACGCTGGTGAAGCCCTCACTGTCCACCCCAGGCACAAAGCCTTCTCCCATGGGTAGAAAAACCAGGGTTGAGTCAAGCCTGGGTGGAGCTTAGCACCACCCAAGGGATTGCATATATTTTAGAAAGCTAGTTAGATACCTCCTGCCGAGCTTCAGGCCTTGCCCTGTGATGTCCCCTCGTCCACCAACACTAATTAAGCTCTAACAGTGCTGACTCAAGCCCTTCTTACCCCGTGGAGGACAGGGAAAGGCAGGACACAAGCCAAGCAGGGGGAAGCTGAAGGTTGCTGAGAATCAGCACTTGTGCATCTGCAACGAGCACAAGGGGAAAGAATTTTTAATGGACCTCCACCATGGGGGACGGGTTGAAACTATCTCTCATCTATCACTGCTTCCTCACCGCAGAGCGTGAGCTGAAGGGTTTCATCAGGGACCGTGCAGCCCTTAGAGATACCTCATCCCTCTGCAACAAATGAGCCCACAAGCATTTGCCAGAGGGAGAGGAGCAAGGACTGCGGGCCAGACTGATTTCCCCTGCTCTTGCTGGGCAGAAGTCCCCCTAATAGAGTTTCCCACTTAGCTCTTTGCATTGAAGTCTGCAAGGGGGTTTGCTTGCCCAAAACTATGACAAAAGGCTCCAAAAATTTAGATGACTGAGCTGCCTTCCAGGTCTCAGCTGAGGAGGGGAAATGAAAACATCAGTCCAGGAGATGAAAGCTTCAAATGAAAATGAAAGAGGAGAGAATTGCTGGAGTGGTGGATCCTGACGTGTCTCGTCAACAGCTGGAGGTGATTAAGGGGAAAATGCTTTCCCCGGGACTGAAGCCAGAGGGGAGCTCTCACCGTTACCGGTCGCTGCTTCCCAAAACAATGGCCAGCATGTTCAGGGGCTCGGTGAGAAGCTCATCCAATAATTTCCACAGTTGTGTGGGTGAGAAGCTCAAAAATCCTCATCCAATAATTTCCACGGTTGTGGATCCTTTTCTCCAAAGGAGAAGCTATGACCATCGCTGGTGTGTGGTCCAGGAGCGAGAACATCTCCCCATCCCGACCTGGAACCCTTTCAGGGTCACTATTGGCTGCTCCTACCTCTTGTGGGGTTGCTCAGAGGATTTTCCCCACTTTTGGTAGGATTCCTCCCTTCCCAGGATTAACTGCACCCCACCAGCCCTTTGCTAGAAGGTGACACTGGTGTTTCCAAGCAGGTTTCAGAGAGGAGCTCTGATAAGCAGGCAGGGCTGAACAAGGTCCTGGGGCCACCAGGAGCCCCCCACCCAGCCATAGATCTGCAAAGGCCATTGGAAGGACCCTCCACCAGAGACCTGACTCCTTTGGGTGTCTCAGCCTCAAATCTCACGGAGCAACCACTGTTTCCAGCAGGGAGACCTCCATCCCCATTCTCTTTGTAGCACAAATCACTTTTGCTTGCAAGCCGGTGCTGTGGGGCATCGCAGGAGACCTCTCTCTCTACCACACCAGGGTCAGAGTGGTACTGGGACCCCAGACTGGGGGGTTTTCCTGCGTGGCTGCTGTCTTTGGGGCAACGTGAATTAATTCTGCTGGATCTCAGTGAGTTTGGGGAGTTCGAGGGGTTTTTATCAAGACACACATTACCCTTACCTCCATGCTGCTCCTCAGGCTGTTCTACCACATCCTGGAAGGAGTTTTGCAAACTTTCAGTCTTCCACAGGTCTCCCTGCCTTCATGGGAGGACAAAACCACCCCCCCCGAGATGGGAAATCAGGCAGAGGGCAGAGCAGTGTGAGTGGAGCAAGTCTGTCCCCGCTGTGGATGGGGTTTACGAGCACTGCAGTGGGGCAAAACCCTACCAAAGTGCTGCAGCAGCCCCACTTCTCGCCTAGAAACACATTAATTGGGTTAACACTGTTAATCAATGCTAAAAAACCCCAACAGGCATCCTTAGGGGGCACAAAAACATTTAAAACATCCGTGCATCCAGTGCTTGGCTACCTGGAGGAGCGGGGGGAAAGTGTGTCTGCGTGATCCCGCAAAGTCCCGGCGTTGGCAACAACCCCGTTTTCAGGTGACTCTCACCAGGCTGTTGGGTTCAGACGTCTTTCCCCCCCCCCCCCCCCAAAAAACTTTTTTCCTTCTGAATGGGGAGAGGCACCGCAGCCCCGTGACGTTGCCAGCTCCCTCTGATTTCATTTTAATGAAATCATGCCCAAATGAAGGCTCCACGTCTGGAGTTACGACTCAAACCCCGTGATCGCTCACTTTTATATATACACGAGGGAGGGGAAAAGCGTTTCCATAGAGAGAAAAAATACCACAGCCCTCTTAATAACAATAAAAGAAAAGCGAGGGTGCAGAAGTTCAGGGGAACGTGCCTGATGCCTCTCTCCTCGGAGTGAGACCGCAGCAACCCCTTCCCATCCCGACCACCAAGGACTACCAGGTGAGTGCCTGGATTTCATTTATTAACCAGCAGCCGGCTTCATTTGCACAAACTTTAAATATTTCAGTGCTTTCCTTTTCCAGATTCCACATTTCTCTGCAAGAAAGAAAAGCAGGATAGGGAAAAGCAGTTCAAAATACTGTGTTAGGAGACTCCCCCACCCTCCCTGCTAAGCAAAGAAATTTATTTTTTATTATTACAACAATTTTGGGAGGCTGATCAGCATGAGAAGGGTTTGGAAATTTTGGGAAATCGAAAAGTAGGGATGTAAATCACTGCTGTGGTTAAAGGGATGGGGAGGGGAGGAGAGCACAACCCCATCCCCACTGGCTCAGGTTGAATTTTGGAGCCCCGGGAATCAGCATCGTCAGGAGAGATTCGTTAGGGAAGTGGAGGCGGCATCAGGCAGAAAGAGTTTGGAAAGTCTAGAGGTCTCATGCCCAGTATTATTTTATTCCAGACTTACTTTTTGACGGGGAAAAAAAATTAGCTTAATCCAGTGCCTCTGCTGCCGAGGTGATAACCAGCAAATAGCTTTGCCCCCAGTTTGCAGAGCTGCCTTGCTGGAGCGATGGACTTCTCTCTTTTAAAGCCGAGAGGCAGATCTTCAGCTGTTACAAATGGTCCTGCCGTGGCTGTTGCCCCATCTCAATATAATGCCTATAAATTGCTCACAGACATCCCAGCAATTTCCACCAG